ACCGCACCTCCTGCGGCAGTATAACTGACCAAGATTGTTCAGTGGCCTGGGTCAAATGATTTTTTTGGCCTCACTCCTCTTCCGATCGAACAGATATCTACATTACAAAAACCACACTTGAATTAGCCCCCTCTAAGCAGAAGCATCAAGGATGAATGGACTGTGGATCATGGACTCTCCTCTCTGCCAAAGAGATGAGCCCTCCAATTTCTGTTGAGCCATGGTTGGGGAAACTTTGTGTTTCTGCTCTGGCTCTATCCATTCTATGCATAGGGCTGTGAGACAAGCACCTCTTCTTTTAGAGAAACACACCTGCCATAAGCTGACCACATGGTGGGATTGTGTCTCTGCTCTTGCTGGCCCAGATGGGGAAGCACTGAGAGCATCAGTCAGTGTAGACACAGCCTTCTGCTTTGGGGATTCCCTCAGTGGGATATCATCAGGATAATGTTAGGTCAGGGGTTCCCAAACTTGGTTCGCAGCTTGTTCAGGGTAAGCCCCTGGCAGGCTGCGAGACGCTTTGTTTACCTGAGCGTCCACAGGTACAGCCGCTTTCAGCTCCCAGTAGCTGGGATTTGCCGTTCCCGGCCAATGGGAGCTGTGGGAAGCAGTGCAGCCTGCGCCACCGCTTCCCACAGCTCCCATTGGCCGGGAACAGCGAACCTCGGCTACTGGGAGCTGCGAGTGGCTGTACCTGTGGACGCTCAAGTAAACCAAGTGTCTCGCGCCCACCAGGGGCTTACCCTGAACAAGCTGCGAACTAAGTTTGGGAACCCCTGTGTTAGGTCAAACTAGATTATCCAGTGGTCCCCTCTGGCCTTAAAATCTATGAAAGTGAGAGCATGATCCTCCTGGGTTTCCCACAGTGTTACAGATGGATCAGTAATTTTCCTGATTCTTAATACTAGTTGGTTTTGTTCTGTCTCCTTGTTACTCATCTACCATGTGCTGTGGACTAGCCCAGTACAAGAAGGTTAATGGTGGTCCTTCTATTTCCAGCAAAACAAAATACAGACTACAGGATGCTTTGTCTCTGGGGTACCTTATTCTAATCCTATACTTAACTCCATGCTTTCTAAAGATAACCTTTTCCTGTATACCATTACCTGTGGTAATGTACCTGTAATCCATCAAAGCCATGAGACAAAAGGAAAAGGGCTTCTGTCTTGCAGTGGGGCCTTTGGTCTTTACACTATCACTGGGCTCAAATAAGTTAATGGGGTGACAGCTGATGAATGGGTGGAGTGACTGCAATCAGTGACTTGAGTGTCTGCATCCTGTCTCATTGCTCGTTCTGAATCTGTGTGCGCTGTAGTTCTGAGAGGGACCCTCTCATGAAACATCCAAGTCTGTAGGACAGGGTTTCTCAGACTATTTTATGCTGTAGCTATAGACCATGTCTTGACATAGAGATTCTCTGGTGGACACCACCCCTCCCCTCCGGCTCTATGCCTTTCTGAGGGCAGTTTAAGTCATTAGGACAGGATCAGAGAGATCAGATGAAAATAAACTCGCAGCAGTGTGATGGGTGTTTTGTCTCTAGGCGCGTGTCTACACTTGCCACTTAAAGCGGAAAAAGTCCCTTTTTTGCGCAAAAACCATGGGAGTGACTACACTTGCCAATGACTTTTTGCAGTTTCACTGCACAAAGAAAACCACTTCCATGAGAGGCATACAGCTTTTACCAGTGATGCTTTTGCAGTGATGTGCAAGTGAAGACATGCTCTTCCTGTTTAGAGCTTTTAGCCTCCACAGGATATCCCACAGTGCATAGGTGACTACTCTAGCCAGCTGCTCTGCTGCCAGGTAAACCGACATCTACCCTTCCCACTGTAAAGCCCTGGGGACTTTGAAACTCCCCTTCCTGGTCTCTTGGCAAGTGGTCACTTCTCTGACCAGGTGACAAGGCCTGCTCCAGGGGAGCAAATGATTCCCCGCTTGGAGCAATGCTGAGCTACTGGAACTGACCAGTGTTTGGGGAGATGAGGTTGTGCAGGGACCCAGGATGCCCCCTTCCCCCGCCCCCTCTTCACACAAGACCCATCCTCAAACTGGAGAGAGCTGCACTGTGGGATAACTGACCTAGAGGGTTGCTCTCATTGGTGATAGAAGTGCTGCTAATGTAAACGCTCTCTGATGCCTGAGGGATTGAGTACACAAACCAGTGCTTTTCAGAGCAAAAACTCTGCAAGTGTAGACATACCCTAGGATTTTACAGGTTGCCTGCAGCCCTCATTATGTCCTTCACTGCTTTCCCTTCCAGTTCTGGTGTTCAGGTATTTGATCACTTGAATTTGACACAGAGAAGCACCAGACAAAAAGAGGGAGCTGTCTCGTTTTGAGTATTCATCAAACAAGCATTTGGAAATCTTGAGAGTCCCGAATTGGATTAGGAGTACTTGTGGCACCTTAGAGACTAACAAATTTATTTGAGCATAAGCTTTTGTGGGCTAAAACCCACTTCATTGGATGCATGCAGTGGAATCTTTCCCTGTTTGCTGTATAGGATGTTGATCAGGTGGTCCTGCAGTTTCTTTGAGAGTGTGTGGCACAATCTCTCAGCATAGTCTGTGTGGTATGTAGATTGTAGTGGAGTTTTTTTTTACCTTGTCCTTTTGGTATGATGTCCATCTGTTTGCATTTGGAAAGGAAGATGATGTCTGTCTCTATCTGTACGAGTTTTTTTTTTTTTTTTTTTTCATGAAGTTGATGGATTTCCACTTCATACAGATAAATGCAGTGCCCTGCATGGTGGCAGGTTTCAGAGTGGAAGCCGTGTTAGACTACTACTCTGAAACCTGAATTGGATTACAACTAGTAAAAGGCATTGCTTGAAGTCCTGAGGAATGCTTCATGGCTGTGATGGAAAGCTCAACAGATCATCTAAGAGCTGCTGTAATAGGGAAAAACTCTGAAGCTATAGGATACTGGAGACCAACAGAAATACTAATAACTAAAGATGGCTTGTGGGGATTCAGATTAAACAGTTGCTGTTCATTCACCTGTTGTTGCTCTGGCTCTGCATAACTTGTTTACTACTCTAAGCCAGCGGTTTTCAAAAAAAATTTCCGGAGACCCAGTTGAAGAAAATTGTTGATGCCCACAACCCAATGGAGCTGGGGGTGAAGGGTGTGAGAGGGGCTCAGGGCTGGGGCAGAGCGTTGGGTTGCGGGGTGGGGCCAGGAATGAGGGGTTCAGGTGTGGGAGGGGGATCTGAGCTGGGGTTGGGGTGTGGGAGGGGGTCAGGCTCTGGGCTGGGGGTGCAGGCTCTGGGCTGGGGCTGGGAATGAGCGGTTTGGGGTGCAGGAAGGGGGGCTGGGGCATGGGGTTTGGATGTGGGGTTACCATGTGTGGCTCCCGGTCGATGGTGCAGTGGGGGTGCTAAGGCAGGCTTCCTGCCTGTCCTGGCACTGCGGACCACACTGCACCCCAGAAGCAGCCAGCAGCAGGTCCGGCTCCTAGGCGGAGGTGTGTAAGCAGCTCTGCACAGCTCTCACCCGCAGGCACTGCCCCCCCCCCCCAGCTTGGAGCCCTGTGTGGAGCCGGTGCTTAGGGCAGGGGCAGAGCGCGGAGCCCCGTGGCCCCCCCGCCTAGGAGCCAGACCTGCTGCTGGCCACTTCCAGGGCGCAGCGTGGTGTCGGAACAGGTAGGGACTAGCCTGTCTTAGCCGAGCATCACCGCTGCCGGGACTGTTAATGGCCTGGTCAGCGGTGCTGACCAAAGCTGCAGCAACCCAGTGCCTTACATCCCGTTACCCAGTACTGGGTCGCGACCCACAATTCGAAAACCCCTGCTCTAGGTCACCTGCCACTTGGCATCTTGTAGAGAATGCTTGTTCTGACTAGCAAATATAACCTGGCTCTGCGCTTCCTTTGTGCATACCAATGTGTATATTCACTCTGCCACCTATTGGCTGCTTTATTCCGTAGTACTTAAATACATTTGACAATATTGTCCTAGAAAAGTTTCATGATAGTTTTGCTATAATTACACTGATTCTGGGGTTGGAAGAGATGGTGTCAAGGTTTGTATTTAAACATTCCCTGCAGGGTGGATTGATTTACATCAGTCACTTAAATCCTGATTTAAATCATTAAATGGAAACTTTGATTAGAACTGATGATTTAAATCAGAGGTGGGCAAACTACGGCCCGCAGGCCACATCCGGCCCGTGGGACCAGCCCCTGACCTCCCAGCAGGGGCGGCTAGCCCCCAGCCCCTCCCCCTGCTGTCCTCTCTCCCCCGTAGTTGTGGTGCTTGCAGGCAGCATGACTTGCACCCGCCCACCTCCCAGGCTTTCCAATAAGCCTGTCCTGCTGCTCTGACTGGAATGGTAAGCGGGGGAGGGGGGGTTGGATAATGGGCAGAAGGTCCCAGGGGACAGGAGGCGGTTGGATGGGGTGGAGGGCGGTCAGGAGACAGGGAGCAGGGGGGTTGGATTGAGGGTGGGGTCCTGGGAGGGGGGGACAGGTGCAAGGGGGGTTGGATAGGGGGTGGGGTCCGGGGGTGGGGCAGTTAAGGACGGGGATCCCAGGAGGGGGCGGTAAGGGACGGGGGGGGGTTGGATGGGTCGGGGGCAGGGGTGTGGATAGGGGACAGGGAGTAGGGGGGCTTGGATAGGGGGTGAGGTCTCGGGGGTGGTTGGGGCAAGGGGTCCCAGGAAGGGGTGGTCCGGGGACAAGGAGCAGGAGGGGTTGGATGGGTCGGTGGTTCTGAGGGGGGCAGTCAGGGGCCAGGAAGTGGGAGGGGGTGGGGGCCAGGCTGTTTGCGGTGGCACAGCCTTCCCTACCCAGCCCTCCATACAGTTTTGCAACCCCGATGTGGCCCTCAGGCCAAAAAGTTTGCCCGCCCCTGACTTAAATCAATATTTCCATTTGTACTTCTTTTATTTTCTAAAGAAAGGTGCTTCTTATTGGTTGAGAATTGGTAAAACATGTTTTACAATTAAATAGATAGAGCCTTTACACTGGATTTGATGATTTTTTTTTTTTGCCATTTAGGCGGGTACACTATAACTAGAGTAAGTATCCATGATGGATGGAATCATAAATACTAAGAATTTGAGAACTGAGCCAATCACAGCTCAGGTAAGGAGAAGCTATAACATAGGAACATGAGATCACCCAGGTGGGCTCAGCAGATGATTGTGATGAGATACAGGATGGTGTCTCCTGGAGTTAGAGGCCAGGTCTCAAAGCCTGTGATGACTTTGCAAGTCTCTTGAATCCAGTAGCACAGACCTGGATCTCCCACAGGCTCAAGCTCCTAATACAGTACATGACCTATTGTGCCATAGTTATAAAGTGTGACCTCCAAATTTGAATGTTTTCCCCCCTAATTCTGTCTTTATTTAGAAAAGCAGTCTTTAACCCAAAGCTTTTTTTTTTTATGGAGGCTCATGAAGTCAGAATATTTATTTTTTTAATTAACATATTTTGTACTAACTTCAGATTTAATTTTAAACAGATTTATTTTTAAAAGAAAAACTTGTAATTTAAATGAAAAAATCCATTTTTAAAAAAATCATGATTTTTATCTCCCCGTGCTGTGCGGATTCAGATTGGCCTAAGAATGACTTGCCTGGCAGTGAAGACTCCCCCTAGCCCCAGTGTTGCCTTTGTTCCAGATACTAACAGGTCTCAAACCTGAAGCTTTCAGGTGCATCCTTCTTAATATGCTTCCTTTTCCTTCGCAGGTGTGAATGACAGAGGAGGTGCCCCCAACTGCAGTTAGTGACATAAACCTGCGTCTTCTCTGCCACGATGACATAGATGTAGTGAAACAGCTCTGCGGTGACTGGTTCCCAATAGAGTATGTAACAGTCCTGCGGCGGGTGGAGGGGGCGCGTAGAGAGACGGTCTATAAACAATTGGTGTGAAAGTGCGGAGCTGAGAGCATAGGCAGGTACTGTGACAGCTGCCCCACGTGCTAATGTACTTCAGTCCTGACCATCACCCACTGTCCAGTCCTGTGTCACCTATACAACACTGCCAATGGTCCATCAGTATTCAGGGGGTCTTGAGAATGAACAGCAGAAACAGAAACTCTCGTTTCTTCAGCACCAACATCCTAAAGAATGCCAAAGCCCTCACCAAGGGAACTGTGGGCATCTTACAAGGAGCTTTGTAATAAAGGGGGGAAATCTTGGAGAGGGCTGCTTTTCTCCCCCCACCCCATTAAGGGAATACTTGTCAGATGGGTTACTGGTAGCATAGAATGAAATTAGCCAAGCTGGTATGTGCTCCAGACACCTGGGTCAACACTCACACCCTTACGAAAAGTGCCAACAGATCTTTAATGATTACATGCGGAGGCCTTAGTTTTAACTCCATCCAGAAGAGACTCCCTCCATCAGCAAAGCTTCCTAGCTTGCATATCTATTGACTCTTGTAGAAGAGTGCTGCCTACTAGACTACCAACTACTTCCTTCAGCATCTGAGTGTTTATTGCAGGTCTCCCACTGAAGTCTTATTCTGGCCCAGCTTATGCTGTAACCCTGCCAGATTCCACAGGGTGTCGTGACTGCAGGCTCATGGCTCAATTTGAAATGCTGTGTGTCCCCTAAGCATTCATGGGTATTGTTCGTTTTTCTTCCCAGGTACCCTGACTCATGGTATCAGGACATCACTTCCAACAAGAAGTTCTTTTCCCTTGGAGCCACCTACAGAGGCACCATTGTGGGAATGATAGTAGCTGAAATAAAGAGCAGAACAAAGGTGCATAAAGAGGTAGGCAAGCCATAGTCTAAGATGAGATGTGCGTATACCCCCAAATGATTACCTGCTCTGGGGCCCATTGCTCACATGAGTAGCCAGGCAAGGAGAGAAGTCAAAAGACTACATTTTTCAGGATCTTTTATTGTGCACCACCAGCAGTTCATTTTACTAAGCTCCAGTTGGTTACACCTGTGCAAATCCCATTGAAGGCTGTGATGTTGCTGAGGGCATAACATGGCCTGTAGAACATTTGTATTACTATTGATGTGTAAGAGAGGATCCCAGTTTGACTCAAAGCCTAGAGTCTGTTTGCAGAAGCTGGGAGCGGATGACAGGGCATGGATCACCACTGTCGGAAGACAGGATACTGGGCTAGATAGACCACTGGTCTGACCCAATAGGGCCGTTCTTATGCAGGTTGGCAGAAAAAGCACATTCTAGCTGGTAAACTGCTGACGTTTGATCTGGACACTCAAATGTGGAACCCCACAATTCTATTTAACACCTTTCAGTAAACGACTAAACATGAAACAAGCGTGTTTAGTTAACAGTTAACTGTGGAGGACATTAAAGGAACTAAATGATTACTATCCCCCAACTGGCAAGAAATATGAAAATAGCAGAAACCCCTCCCCCAGCCCAAATAGGTTCTTTCCTTTTCCTCCATTTAGGGGGCTGTGTTTATCTCCCCATTTCCAACAGCTCCATAAAGGCACCTGGTATAAGAAAACTCTTCTGTAAATTGATGCTTGCTTTTGTTTTTACATTATACACTGTGCTATACACATGTATCCTACTAAATGCTTTGTCATGTCTCTGCTCAGGATGGGGATATTCTAGCTTCCAATTTTGCGGTCGATACTCAAGTTGCTTACATTTTAAGTCTAGGAGTGGTGAAAGAATTTAGAAAACATGGAATAGGTAAGAACATTCTAAATAGCTTTTCTATGTCTGTTGCTGAGCACCAATCCATTGTGTGGGTTATTTATCCCTCGTGACTCATGTTTGGTATGTGGGTGAAGGTTATAGAACTAAGAATGTCTTGACTCTGCCCACTTCAGAGACTAGCTTGTACGCTAAGCTTGTATAGAACTTGTCATGTCTCACAGAATTGGAAATGGGATACAGATTACATCACAGAAGCCCGCTGTTGCATATACAGAGTGATTGAGAGTCCATACCATCTGGTTGCTGTTCAGTGGCCTCTGAAAAGAGTAAGTGGATCTCAGTCCAATTCCCAGTGGATAGCTGACCATGCTGAAAACACTGTCATAACTGTCAAACTTGCTAGCAGTGCCAGCAGATCTGCTGTGGACTGAGTGGCCATGGAAACAGAACTCCTCAAGCCCATGAAGCTGGTCCCTCCAGGACGGGGTTGAGGCATGCTGATAATGATGAGGGGTGGGGAGTGGGCACCGCCATTGATCATATCATGCCTGTGTTGTGCTGTGAGGGAGAACTACAGGCCTCAGAGGTTGCAAATGTGTGATGACATCTCCAGCTGTTTTAAAAAAAAAAAAAAAAAAGAGGGAGAGGAAACAAGGGGGATTCAAGAAATAACATCATAATGTGGATCAGAATATGTCCATCAAGTGAGTGCAGTGATCAGTTTGAACCCCAGCTACAGCACAACAATTTCACTGCCATGGGGAAATCCTAAAGTAACAAGGCCAGATAAAATACTTTTTCAAGTGATTTGCACATGTGTATTCCACTCTTGGGAAGTGTGCATAGCTGGTGGAAAAATTTTCCCTCAGCAGTATCTGTTGGGACAGCTCAAGCTCCCCCTGCTGTCACTCGCCACTACATGCAGGTATAAAGTGGGGAGCTGCCCCAGCCCACTTCAGTTCTTTCTTACTGCCCATGACAGTTGTTGGAATGTATTTGTCTTGCTTTAACAAGTATTCTCAGCATGTTATAGTTACCTGTTTGCATGGGTTTTAGTGTTAGAACTTGCACTAACCAAAGTTTACTACTTTCTTGGTTCCCCAATATGGGGTTCCACTGTTGGGACCAAGGAATGCCTCAGTCACTGGGCTTCAAGGCCAGATTGAAGTTTCTTTTGATGTAGGCTGCTCTGAAACGACCTTAAGAGTCTTCCTGGTTGGGGGAGGGTGCTGAGCACTTTGGCTTCTGTGAGAAGCGTACCTCCAATGTTGGATTAGTCCTAGCACTCCTTGCTTTCTCTGGTGCCTGGGAAGAAACAAGGCTTCCCCGGAGGCTGCTGGGACAGGAAGATCATCAGTTCCCAAGTCCATCAAGCAAGGGGACAAAGGGTCAAATAGAGTGCAATAAAAAGTGAAGCACTCCACCTCTCATTCATCAGCCAAGAGAGCACCATCAACTCTGGCTGCAGGGCAGGCACCATTGAATCTGGGGCCCAAAGTTTTTGTCTCTTGTGCACCAGTTAAAGACAATTCCATTACCATCCATGACAGACACATGTGTAGGAACAAGGAACTTGTTGAGCTTGTTGGTGCCAGTGTCCCCAAAGGTGCAGGAGATTGTTTCTATGGTACTGGCAGATCATCAGGCTCAATGGTGCAGCACCTAGCACCACATCAACCTCCTGTATCCCAGACCTCTTACCTGTCAGTACCATCGAGGAAAGATGGTGGTGATGGCTTCTCTTCAGTTATCTCTGGTTTCTTGACACTAATCTTCAGCAGGTGTCAGGAGAAGGTTATTCTTCATCTTCTGACTCTTGTCTCCCAACCGCAGTGTCTTGCTGCTCCCCTCCCACGTAAAAACAAGCGGAGGATAGGTATTGTGTTCTCTCTCAAGGCTTCCAGCATTTTTATTCCCAACCCTCTCCTGGATCCTTTGTTGTCTCAGCTACCAACAAGAGGGAACGCTGGGGCAGCAGGCGGCTGTCCCTAAGTTGAAGGACGCCAAAAAGCTTGACTTATTTGGTAGAAAAATGTGTTCTACGGTGGGGTTACAGCTTAGAATCACCAACCAGCAGGCTTTGTTAGGGTGATATGATTCTAACACCTGGAACTGTGTACTGAAATTTAGGGACAAGCTGTGGGAGGATGCTAAACAAGAGTTCCTTTCGCAGGTGAATGAGGGGAAGTTAGTGATAAGAACTTCACTTCAGGATAGTTTAGATGCAGCTGAAGTGGCTGCTAGGACTCTGGCCTCTGCCATCATCATGCACTGGTGCTCATGTACTCTTTGGGGTTGGCCTAAGAAGTACAGCAGACTATTCAAGACCTGCCATTTGAAGGGTCATCCCTCTTCCTGATGCAGACAGGTTATAAACTTCACAGCTCCAAGGTGACTCTGAACTCCTTGGTATGTATACTTTTGACCCGTCAAGGAAACACTTTCATCCTCAGCAGTTCCATCGATACCCTACTCTTGAACCTTGCCAGGACCTAACAGACACTTCCTCAGTGCTTGGTCCTGAATTACTTTGGCCCAATGGGTCTTAAGTGCCTTGGAAGTGGGAACACTCTCTTCATTTTGTTTCTTCCCCTCCTTCCCACCCTCCCTCCCCATCCCTCTTCAGGGACCACTCTCACAAGGAACTCCTCTTCCAGGAAGTGCAATCTTTCTTTTGCGTGGAAGCCATAGAAGAGGTTCCCGAATGTCAAAGGAACAGGGTTTTATTCCTGCTATTTCCTAATCCCAAAAGCAAAGGGAGGTCTCATATTTTTAGACCTCTGGCAATTCAAAAGATCTCTAAAAAAGATAATTTCGCATGGTCACACCGGTTTCCATTATCCCTGTCCTGTAGGCTGGAATGTCACGCTCAACTTAAAGGACACATATTTCTATGTGGTGATTTATCAAGGCCACAGGAAGTACCTCAGGTTCCTATAAACCAGTCTAGTTGCCAGTTCATGGTGCTGCCTCTTAGCCCTGTCATCAGCTTCCTGGATTTTTACAAAATGTGTGCCTTCCTGCGAAAGTTAGGAGTTACTCCTGAGGGCAGTCTGCACTGCAGCATTTTCAAAAATTTTATTTGTCAAATAAATGTGGAAGCTACAGCATGGTATTGGGGAGCACAGGCCACTGGCTGCTCAGAGGTGGGAGATCACTGTGCAGCTCCCCTCTCTCGGGACACTGACTCAGCAGTGAGGCTGCACCCAACCCTGACACAGCGCAAGGACCGGGCCTGCCCCAGAAACACCCCAGAGCCTTGCCCCTCCATCCAGGTGCACCAGGTGTGGGTAGGCAGGCAGGATCCAAGAGTGGAGGGGCTTAGCGTAGGGGAAATCCAGATGTGGGTTAAGAGGGTTCTGTGTGGGGCAATCTGGATGTGGGCAGCTCAGTGGGGGATCCGGGTGCGGGGAGGATCTGGATGCACAGCAGCTTGTTGTGGGGTTCTGGGTGCAACGGTAATGGGACTCTGCAGGGGGGTCCAGGTGAAGGTGGTTGGAGCTCAGTAGGAGGGTCTGGGTGTGGGGGAATAGGGCTCAGTGGGGGGTCCAGATGCTGGGGGAATAGGGCTCAGTGGGGTTGGGATCCAGGTGCAGCTGGTTGGGGCTCGGTAAGATGGGGGTGCGGGTGGCTTGTCAGGGTGGTCCAGGTGCAGGGGGGTTTCTGGGTATGAGGGGGTCTGGATTCATGGGGTTTGGACGGATGGGGGCGCAGCTCCCTGTAGAGTGATCGCTCCCCCTGCAGCTGAGGAGCAATGGGCGCAAGAAGCGTGGAGGGGGGAGTTTGCAGAGCTTCCTGCAGCCAGGGGAGAAATCCTGGGGCTGGATCTGATCCAACCCTGGATGCCATGCAGGGGAAGAGGAAGTCCCGTCCCCCCCCCAGCCCAGCCGGGACTAGCAGCTGAGTCCAGCGCAGGGTAGGAACCACCAGCCATGTCTTCCCCCGTTCCACCCCTGCCCCATGGTGATTTACCTCTCTACTGGCTGCCCTGGGCACCCGAAACATACTGCTGGGGAGGGTCACGTGACTGCTTTTGTGGCTTCCCTTTGCTTACCTGCCAGAAAATCATTTTTCTGTGGAGAAACCAAGAAATCTGCAGGGGACATAAATTCTGCGCAGGTGTGGTGGCGCAGAATTCCCGCAGGAGTAAGAAGTGCAAGTCTGTCTTTACCTGGATGACTGGTTTGTGAAAGGCGGTTTCAGGTGCAGTTCAGAGTAGTTTGTATCCAGTCAACTTTCAATGCATTGGGTCTGTTGATCAACTCAGATGTCTATCCTCTGAACTGGGGAGAGGATAGAATTTACAATAACATTATTGGGCTCCGCTCAAGCCAGAGTTTTCATTCCAAGGTCAAAGTTTCAGACAATTTGTTCCATTGTTTTAGATCTCAAGGTTCACTCACTTAATTGTATGAGGCTTCTTAGGCATATGGCCTCTTGCACTTGTATAATCTGGTGTGACAGACTTACGTCTCGGGCATCTACAAAATTGGCTGTCTTCCATATTCTTGCCAAGCCATTGCCCTCTAAACATCTTGGTGAGGGTGCCTTCTCATATTTTACCTTGTAGATTGGGGAACAAACCCTGTCAACGTATACCTAGGTGTTCGTTTGTCCACCCTCAGCTGCCACTGATGTTGGTGATAGACGTGTCTGCCTTGGGTGTTGAGCAGCTCATCTGGGTTCCCTGCAAATGCGAGGGTTATGGTCCACAAAGGACTTGACTCTGCACATAAACGTCAGGGAGTTGAAAGCCTGACACCAGTCGGATAGCTCTCCTACACCACGTCAAGGGGAAAAGCCTGCTCATTTTCAGAGAACAGTGGTAGTGTTCTAACTCGGCAGCCAGGGAGGGGGCCACTTGTCCCTGCTCTGCCAAAAAGCAATGCAGCCACACACACAGGTCATTTACAACTCAACACAAGTGGTCTTTCTGTTTAGATGTAGCCAGATTCATTTTCAAGCTGTGGGAATTTGTTCACATTGCAAGCAGGCCCATTTGCAACGAGAACAAACAGGAAGTGCCAGCGAGA